TTTCTTTTCTTCATTACATCTCTCTCTCTCTCTTTAATAATTATTTCACAACTCTCTTTCTTTTTACTTGATTTTCAATTCAAAGTTTTCCTTTTCCTAGACTGGTTACCACCTCTACGCAAAACATAGCTGGGAAAGAGAAGAGATGGATTTATACTTTTCCAATGGTATCTGTACAAAAAAGAGCCCAACAAACATTGGCTAGAATTCAAACTTGTCTCACTAATTTCTCTTTCCATATATCTAACCATTGTGCTACCCACACACCACACAAACAAAGCAGAGTAAATAACAAATTGAAAGTAGTTCTGATTGTTGAACTCTCTTTTCATCTTATTTTTACTGTTTCTACATTGTTTTGGTTGATTCATTCTATGGTCTTATTCAGTATAGAAATCCATGAGAAAAGAGGGTTTTTTCTTTTAGAGAAGTACTTATCAAAGATAAAATAATGGTTATATATATATATATATATATATAGGTTGTATTTGGTCAACAGTTTCTCATTTATGCAGATTAAGGTGAAAACCAATGAAAGTTCATTGTTTAAGATTTTTAAATCGGTTTTTGTACAGTGTGAACCATTTTTCTGGTTTCCTGGGAAAATTTTAATACAGATTGTCCGATGTCTGCTGAGAACTTATGACTTTCACAAGCCATTATTTTTCTTTTATAGATGTGTCTTCTGATACATGAAGATTACTTTAGGTAAGAAAATGACAGTTGCCATGCAGTGTTGATTCCTATGTCTGCACTGTCTATATCTATAAACAATCCATCTCCAATACTGAGAAATCCTTCCACCCCAACACCAAAAATATAGCAAATTGTGCTGCAATCCTTCTTTTATCCATGTTTAATTGAATGTGATAGACAAAGAAAATCCTAGGAAATAATATAAACTTTTTAAAAATAAAGAAATCACTTTATATACAGACTTAGACAAAATATTACTTTCTTTGAAATCAGTTGAAATTCATTGAGTGCATTTTGGATAGAACACAAACACCAAAATATACTAACAATGAACCCCTTGAAAATGGCTAATGAAGGAGCTGGAAGCATTTGAAACAATAATTGTGAAATAGAAAAGAACTTTTAATAAATATACTGATTAGACCAGCTGGTTTGAAACAGTCTAAACCACAAGGACAATTTCATTCTCAGCAATTAATTCACTGATGTTGATATACAGAAATGGTTTCAAGTTTTTTCTTTATGAAACATAGATTTCTGCACTATGATAAAATCCATACCAGAGTTATACACCCAACATTCTACTTCTTTTCCTTTTTAATATTCACTCACAATTTACTTATCTATTAATAAATGTGATAAATGGGTAGATAGAAAAAACTAATTGATAGAAATATATAGAAATGAATTGAACTGTATGTGTATGTAATGCACAGAATGAGATTGTTAAAAATGTATTAACATAGATGCATATATGTGAATTAAACTGCATATATATATATATATATATATATATATATATATATATATATATATACATACACATTTCATTAATATGACTGACAAGGTACTGCAGTAAAAAATTTTATTTAATTTTTTTTGTGTTTTTATAATTTTCTTCTTTTCTGGACATAAATTATAGAAATTGTCCAAATGGTTTGTATGCCATTTGAACAATTTCTACATAATTTATGTCCAGCAAAGAAGAAAATTATAAGAACACAAGAAAAATGAAAATAAAAACTTAAGCTCAGTAACTGTCAGTTTCAGTAGTTTTTAATGAAACTCATATAAAAGAGGAACTGCAGCCCAAAACACATATATATATATATATATATATATATATATATATATATATATATATAGGGTGACCCCCAAAAAATGGGAATTTTTGAAGTGCATATTGCCAGACATGAGCAAGTGGTAACATTGAGAGACAGTGACCTTGAGCAAGTAAATATTTCACCATTTAGAATTCAAGATGAAATTCACAGTATTCCAGCTGAGATGTTGCAGCAGTCAATGTGGAATCTCAACAGCAGATTTCAAGAATGCAATTCATACAGGAGGACGCCATCTACAGGACGTAATTTTTAAAAAATGAAAATTCCATCATTGTTTCTTTAATGGCATGTTTTAAGGTTTCAATTACTATGAATAAAATATTTTTCTTTCATCACTCTTGGTTTTATTGGATTGTTAAAAAGTTCCCATTTTTGGGGGGTCATCCTATAGATAGATAGATAGATAGATAGATAGATAGATAGATAGATAGATAGATAGATAGATAGATATATTCTTTTTTTCACCTGCCAAAAGACAAATTTTCTTTATTAAAGACTCACAAATACACAGGTCAGTATACATCAATTCCACTGTTTGAAAAAAAAAAGACACATCTACTTAAATGCAAATAGCAAGGTAACTAGATAGATAAGACTGAGATAGATATTCATTACATTGAGCTTCAGATAAACAGAATACTGTTGATAGGAGCTCTTTTAGGAAAGGTGCAGCTCAGATCATTTTGCGTGTGTCAATGTCTTAAAACATAGTTTTGGTTTGGGGAAATATAGAAAAAATAAAGCTATATCTTTTATGACCTTTGAGATCAGACTGACCATAACAATAAAATTTATGTCAGTAAAAGCTAATTCTAATATTATGGTCTAATATAATGGGCAGTGAACACACTATCATTCGAGAATTTTGTTGTGCTCTGTTTCAGAAGATAGCTTGTGCAAATAATGTGGCCAGTCACTGAGTTGATAATTTCTTTTGCCAAAAAGTGGTAATAAAATAAAAAATTAATTGAATTCCCTCCATCCTTTTACAATATTTTGAAAAATAAGCAGTTTATATTATGCTTTTCTTTCTCATTATGTCACTGAAATTTATATGACTTATGAACATGAGGATGATGGGGTGTAAAGTTTGGATCTTTCAAATGGATGCAAAGAGATAGATATGAACAGAGATAGATAGATAGATAGATAGATAGATAGATAGATAGATAGATAGATAGATAGATAGATATGAACAAGCAGATAGATAGATAGATAATGAACAAGCAGAGGGATAGATAGATAGATAGATAGATAGATAGATAGATAGATATAGATAGATATGAACAAGCAAAGATAGATATGAATAGACAGAGATAAATAGATATGAACAGAGATAGATAAATAGTATGAATAGACAAAGATAGATATGAACATATAGATAGATAGATAGATAGATAGATATGAATAGACAGAGAAAAATAGTTAAATATGAACAGAGATAGATAAATAGTATGAATAGACAAAGATAGATATGAACATATAGATAGCTAGATAGATAGATATGAATAGACAGAGATAAATAGTTAGATACGAACAGAGATAGATAAATAGTATGAATAGACAAAGATAGATAGATATGAACAGACAGAGATAGATAGATAGTATGAATAGACAGATAGATAGATATGAACCGACAGCCATATGTAACAATACAATTTCTCACACATCCTTAGGAGCTAAAAAGATAGTTTCTTTTTCTTTTTAGGTCAATTTAATTACCAGAGTTTCTTTGGAATCTTGTTTCCAGTCAATCTCTTAAAACAATGACGTGAGTTTTCAGGAACCCTATTTCCAGCCCACCTTTCAACTGTAAAACATGACATTTTTTTAGTGATTTTCGATAATCATAAAAGTAGCCTCTTTTAAAAAACTGACCACTCATCTAGCTTATGGGTGCTCTCCTTTTCTGGAAAACAAGTGAATGGGTAGTGGTGGTGGGACCCCAGCCAGTGTTCATATAATCAGAAGTCAGTCAGGAGCAATCAGTGAGGAAGGTACCTGCAGTCAGAAAAGAAGGAACGAGCAATCAGTGAAGAGTCAGCAGTGAATGTAAAGCCCTGGCTGTATCTGTCCTTATAAATATGGCAGGGTAGGACAGCCACCACAACACTTGCAGAAGCATTTACGGTAACATAAAGGAGTCATAGATTGTTTGAGAGACTGTAATATTCCCAGAGACACATGCATGAGATAGGATGGCCCATCAGGAAAAGAAAGATACCATGTCTCAATGAAACAGTGAGGTTATTGTCAATCTTGTAGTAGTTGTAGTAAAAGGTGCCACTCACCTGAGAGGAATAAACAGAAACCTTACCTAAGTCCCAGGCAAATGGTTTGTTAGCGGTGTGGGCAGTCTAGTCATCTAAGGAAGGACTGTATGTAAGGGAGGTGTGCATTTGTTCTCTTCAATCAGGAATCTGATTTAACATGTAAGACAATGGTGTGGGGAAAGGAAATAAAGGTATTAATAGATACAGGAGTATCTATTTCAATGATGAGAGCTAGGGATTATTTTCAGCTAGGATTTAGGAAAAATGAGCTAGATGTTAGCAAGCAAAAAATATCTTGGGCAGATGAAAGGCAAATTAATGTATTAAGTTTACTACAGCTTCCTGTAGCGGTGGGAGGGTCAGTCACAGTGCAGCAAATGTATGTGACATCTACCCTGTGAAGATCCATGATACTAGGTAAGGTTTGGCTTCAAAACAATGAAATGCAGATATGCCTCAACCCAGCACTTCCACTGCTAAAGATGGGGAAAAGAGAAATACCCTTAGGAGGAAGGAAAATGTATCAGGTTACCCAAATGGATGAATATCATTTTGGAGAGAATAGGCTCTAATAGAGTCTGTAGTGGAAGATGGCGATGCAAGTCATATCCCAATAATGTTGTCTCATAGTACTACTAGAACAATAAGGGTTCACAAGGAACAGAAAATTGGGGAGGCTATGCCAGCTATTATGAAGGGGAAGATAGAATGTGCAGAAGACAGTGAAAGTAGCTATATGAATTCCATAATTAGGAAGGCAGAGATATTAGCTCCACATATGCATGAATGGAGTATCCTGTAATCTATAATCGGCAATAGAGATGTAGTAGCTGACTCAGATGCTGACTTAGGCCAGTAGAGATGAGGATAGACATGTATAATCACCTGCCTATAAATCAAAGACTATATTGGACCCCAATGCATTAGTGTAAACTTGTACAAGGGAAAGTTGGGGATATACTGTAAACAGGAATAATAGAATGCTCCATATCATTATGGTGGGCTCTGAATAAAATAATCAAGCCCCTAGCCTACCCCCTACCCTTGATCGACAACATATTGGCATTGCTGAAGAAGTCAACTTATTTTTCCACCCTTGATCTGAGGCTTGGCTAATGGCAGGTAGCCCTCAACAAAGCTGATAGGGAGAAGGCTGAATTTGTCTGTCATGTTGGGTTGTACCAATTCAGACTGGACAATGCCTCTGGAATTTTTCAGCAGGTCATGTTGATAGTGCTGGTGGGACCCATTGTGAGGATCTTGTTGCTATTCGTTCTCATAATCCCAACTGGTGTTTTGAAACACAGCCACAATATCATATTAAAATAATCTGCCATAGTGATAATCACCAGATCAAAGTGAATAATTACCTTGAAGGGTTGAAGCAAATTAGGAATATTCAGGCCATAAACTGGGAACTGGACTTGTTGCAGGTATGCAAGGGAAAACTGGCAATAACTGTAAGAGCTCCCACACCATGGACCATTATCAAACTTCAGATGGGTTGTTCTGCCTTTGGGAAATCTCTAGTCCTCTCACCTTACTATCGGGTAGAGTTAAAAATTGAAATCCAGGACTCCTTTTATTTATATTTTTATAGAAAATGCATGCACATTTAATTGTGTATGTATGTATGTGTTCGTTTTCTTGGGGTTTTTTTATAAAGGGCCATGAAGATGTTTCCTGTCTCGTCACTTTTTTGTGTGTGTATATATTTAAATATGTCTGGGTGCTTATGTGTTATAATCTGAGTGTGTTTGTATTGTTTTACGCGAGAGGTTAGCACCCCACTCACACACTCAGGATTAAAATGTATACATTTTGTCGGGAAGACCAGCTGATATTAGCATCTATTCTAACGTAATTTCAATGAAGAAATAAATTGAATAATATATGTATTTTTTCTTTTCTCCTCAGTAATTTTATAATTTTAAACTTAATAGCGATTAAATTTAGATTTTAAAATTGGTATTTTTTTACTTTTAATTTTAATATCAAATTTTATCCTATAATTTAATACTTATTGGTTAGAATAAATTCTATTTTAGTATAACTCCAACTTTAAAGCTCTTAATAGCTATTATAACCTTACTTCATTGTCAAGTTTTTTGAATTCTCCTACACTTGTGTTTTGATTGGTTATTCTAGCTTTTGTAACAGCGTTTCCCCTTATGAAGGATCGTTAATTAATTTGAAACTTTTAAAACCATTTATTTTAAATTCAACATCATCACTTGATAAGACATCAGAGGTGTTGAAACAAAATGGCTATTTTTGTAGTGATTTTATAACATATTTATGTGATAATTTTTAAATAAATAATTATATCTGCTCTACTCTGTATTGAGCACTCTTTTAAGAATTGTAATTGTTGGTTATTGGAATTTATTCTGTATACACCAATCATGTACTTGGGTATATATATATATATATATATATATATATATATCCAAGTTTTGTTTCCTATATTTTATTCCATTTTTCTGGCTTCCAGTGAAAATTTGAATAATCCAATTTCAAAGATTTTTGATAATACTGTGACTATACATATGTATTGCCCTTTTTGTGTTATGTCAATTTCATTTGTTTTCAAATATCATGTCTTCAGATGTCATATCAATTTTTTTAAATATATTCTTGGCAAAACAAACTGGTGTATGAACTTGCATTGGTCTTCAAACAACCTTGTGTAAAGGAAAAATTACTGCCCAAATAAAACCAATATATATATATATATATATATAGATAGATAGATAGATAGATAGATAGATAGATAGATATACAAAAAAAACATAATATATAATAATGGCTCGTTACTACTTGTTTTCCAACCATTCTTCAGGATTGGCTAGGCAAACCCATCTACTCAGTCCACAGATCAAAATTGTAGTTCATACTGCAACTATGCTGAGTATAGCTTAGTTGAATTTTCTGGGTGGGAATGCACAATCTAATGTGATCAATTTCTTGAACAAGGCCAGTACACTCAAACCCTTGATCCCAATGATTTATGCCTTCATGCTTGCACAATAGTCAGCAGCTTCCTAATGGCTTAAGTTAACCTATGGTATGGCTGTCACCCACTTTTCAAAGGTGCTGTATGCAGTGATTGCTTCCCCAGCTTGTTAACATCAAGAAGTCAACAAACAAATCAACCATCATGAGATTTGGACCCAGGTTTCATAGTCAGAAAGCAAATGTTCTAACTACATGGCTACACACCTATTAAGAAAAATATAATAAAAGTAAAAATACATAAAATATATAATAATAGTTCCTGTCTTTAAGAACTCTGGGGAAACTCCTATTATTCTTTTATATCTTTTTAGCAAAGTACTAGAATCACTAATCAACTCTGAATTGGTTAAACATCTCACTTCACATGGTCTTCTTTCAGATAAACAATATGGCTTTCATTTCTCTAGATCAACCACCAATGTGTTAATAGTTATTACTGAATTTGTCTATCAGGCATTAGATAAGAACAGCATGGCTTGGGCTGTGGCTTTAGATATATTTTGCTTCTCTGTCACCTATATTCTTCAAAAATTTAAATGCAACATCAATTGCCATCCTCTGTCTTCCAGAATCCTGTTTGTTTATTGTCCTTTCTGCTCACTAAAGTCTCCCCCTTCTCTTTCAGTCCAAGTAATCTCTTGCACCTTAGTGGTATTATCACCTTGCTTATGGTGAAATGATTTTTTTTAAAAATAGACATAAAAAAAACATAATAAAAAACTAAACAAGAGTACTTTGTCAGTTTTGTTCAAAGAAACATATTAAAGAGTGATTCATGCCCAAATACACAATTTTATATATATGTGTGTGTGTGTGTGTGTGTGTGTGTGCATTTGTTGTGACTTATCTGACTTTTCAGCCTATCTCTGTTCATAAGTACATTCCTTTTACAAGACAAGACCTATACAAATCCGAACACACCATCTCACCCACTCATTAACCAAGTCCACCAATTCCCCACCAGAGTTGAAGAATCTGCAAATCTATTGACCACATTGTTCGTTTATCCAACTGGCCTTTCTTCCCATTGACCACAGTTGCCTTCTCTCCTCTCATTTTCACTTCACATTAGCTTTACCATTTTTCTGTATTTCCTACACAACAATTCTGTACTCCCTGTTCCTCTCTTTAATCGTTCTTCTTCTCCTACACTTTCTCTTCTTTCTTCCACCTTCTACCCATTTCTCTCTCCTCTTTCCTTACTTCCTGCCCAATTCCTTCCCATTTCCTCCTACCTCCCCCTCTTACTATTCCCCTTTTCCCTTCACTAATTATCAAAGAACAGGCGTTATCACACTACACAACTGAGGAGAGCACAGACAATTCCTTTTCATTGCATTAAGACTTGCCTCACCTGAATGACCTTGACTAAAACTAATTATCGAAAGGCTCATTTGAATATCATTGTAGTAAGAGAGCTTGAAGGAATACTACAAAGTCCATGATTCAGCATTCGGTGCCGAAAATATGAGATTCACCAAACAACCCTAACCCACAAAGTGTATTTGCATTCTGTTTTAATCTCTGGTGTAAATTTCATGGTGGCAACCTGGTTTTTCGAAGTTTCAAGCCAAGACATTTAATTTGTAATCATCAGTTGACTCTCAGCATTTGGAGAGCTGATCAAAGATACAAGCTTAGAAAAACTGAAATCATCTTGATAATTCATATTTTCTAATGAACATGTATTCACACACAAAACACACATACAAATCAATTCATATATTTATACATACTAAACGAAATTAGATAGATAGAGACACACACAGATGAACAAGGATATGCACATAGATAGATAGATAGATAGATAGATAGATAGATAGATAGATATTCAGGCAGACAGACTAACAAAGATATGAATGTAACTAGCTATGTAGATAAATAAATAGTGATTCAGGCAAACAAATGAACAAATATATGAACATAGCTGGCTGTATAGATAGAGAGACCAGCAAAGAGATATGAATAGAGAAATTAAATAGATTGAGACACATACACCTAATGAACAAAGACTAGCTAGATTCAGGCAGACAGACAATTGAACAAAGATGTGAAAATATTTAACTAGCTTACTACATAGAGAGACAGACAGATGAAAAAAGATATGAACCTCGCTAGCTAGATCAATAAATAGATAGCTGGATAGATATAGATATATATATAGAGAGAGACATACTGACCTACAGATGAACAAAAATATGAATGCATCAAGCTAGTTAGTGAGATAGATAGATAGATATTGGAATTGCTGATTGGAGAGTCAAGTTCCAATTCCCATTGGGTTCATTATATTCACTTACATACAAATAATCTTAGGATAGGTTTTTTTTTTTTTTTTTTACAATAAGATTCAACCTGTACAAGGCCCGGAGCCATTGAAGGTAGAGGGTTACATTAAGAGGTAATTTATATGGATAGGAGGGGAAGATAATGGTCAAATCTAGACTTGAACAAGTTAAGATTGTAGTGATTGAGGGAACATCCTCTCAGGAGTCTGTTTCTTCTCCTGCCCAAATATGGCAACAGTACTCCATTTTCGGCCTGACCTGGCTCTTATAAAGGTAGAGAATAGCATGAGGCATCAGGTACTTACCAACATAATACAGGGAGCCGATCATTTTACCTGCATCTTTAGTGATGGATTGATATAAGAGATCCATTTTAGGTCAGGTGTGAGTTTGAAGCCCAATATTCTCTCAAGGCACAGTGCCTTCTTGAGGGGACATCTATACATCATGACTGGTGGTAGTTCAGGGTCTGATCGGTGGTGATGAAATGTAACTAGTTTGATTTTCAAGCATCTTCTAACCCAAGTTAAGATTTGTATCACTAAACTATTATTATATCCATAAAGAAAAATTCTTACAATCAAAAACTATTTTATGGCTTTAAATAACCTGCAAAAACTATAGAAAACAAATCAATAAATTATTGTTGCTTAACTTTAGTGACTGGAGGAGAACCAGTATTTTAAAGGTGATATGGCTATGAACTTATTTCTGAAATTGAGACAAAAAATAAAACCATTTTTAAAAATATACTGATTTCCCTGAAAATAATTTTAATCTCAGGAAATCTAACTTTAAGTCTAATGTATTTATTTTCTAGTTTATTTTTTTTTTTTTTTTTTTTGCTGTGTCATCTTTAAACCTATTTGCTGTTTCATGTTCAGCTGTGAAGTTTAAAACAGATGTGACAGAATAAAATTAGCCTCAATGATTTGTTTTGATCCATCAGGTCCATTTTAAACCTCAACCTTACTACATAGAGAGACAGCTAGATGAAAAAGATATGAACATATCTAGCTAGATAGATAAATAGATAGCTGGATATATATATATATTTATATATATATATATATATAAAGAGAGAGAGAGACATACTGACCTACAGATGAACAAAAATATGAATATATTCTTGAGAGAATATTGGGCTATGTTGTTGCTTATAAGCTAGAGTGCAACCATGAATATATGAAAGAAAAATGCAAAAAAAAAAAAAAGATCAAACTTTGAAATTTATTTGTGCAAAGATGATTATTTTATCGAAGGAAAAGAAGGAAAAATAAAATGTTTAAAAAAAAACCTTTACTTAAAAACAAAAATATATTTTGACATCAGCAAAATATATGAGAAATAATATTTACTTTTTCTTTTGGAAAACAAAATAATAAAAATAAAAAATTCTATAGATATTCTTCAACTCAGAAGAAAAATTCATGAAATAAATATATCATTGACAAATCATATATCAAAGAAAATCTTGTGTACATCAATAACTAAGTTTGATTGACTGTTTTTTTTATGGCTTACCAAGCTTTTCAAGGTTACTAAAAGCTGAAACATATATTTAAATGTTATTTTGTTTTTTGGGTATTATAATAATGACTTTTGATTCATGTCTTACTATTTAACTCATAGATGGGAGGAAAAGAGCTGGATTCATACACTTTTGCAAGGGTATTTGTACATCAGTGAATACAATGAATCTGACTAGAATTTGAACTTGGCCCTCTGATTTCTCCTTTTGAGCCATTATCCATTACGCCATCTGCATATCCAAGCTTCCAGCACCTGATATTCCCAAACAGACACCCATCTAGGTACTGACCAGGCTCAACATTGCTTAACTTCAGTGATCGAATGAGAACTGGTGTTTCAACATGCTACGGTTGTAAGCCTCAGTTAGAAAGTATACATACACACATATATATAATTTTTAAAGAAAAAATTTAAAACTGATAGAAAAATCTACAGTTGAAAAAATGAAAGACATAAACAAGAGCAAAATTTCATGAACATGTATGTGTAAAAGAATGTTAAATTCATGAATACACACATGTACAAAATGGAGTCAACCACAACCCCTGAAGACTGGAAATTTTACCAAGAAAATTCAAAGTCAGGATAAAAATGGTATTTAAAAGTTAAGCAATCTTTTTGTAAAATATTATATATATATACATACATACATTATATATATATACATATATATATATATATATATATATATATATAGTAGCTGAATGATAAAATGAAAAATACTAATGTTGCACATATTGCCAAGAATCATGGAGCTAATAAAACAATGGAAAAGCTTTTACAGACAGATACTGATAGATATCTACAGGTTGGTATGAGAGATGAAACCTATATGGAAGGAAATTGCATTGGAATATTTGAGGAAGGGGTAATAAGTAACCTTATCAGATGCTACAATGAAGAAAGTATTTTCTTTTTTTTATATATTGAAGCCATTAACATTTGTTAGATTTTACATTATCTCACTCTGAGTAGATCTCCATTTTTTCTCTATTAGTTATTATACCACATTATGTATTGAAACTATACTGATCTCACATTTCTCCACTCCAAACTTATATGAAATATCACTAATCATCACAAAAGCATTAATAGTATAATGTATCTCCTTTCATGACAAAACTACTGCTTTTACAATGTGGAATATTTAAATATAATAACAATAAAATTAACAAACAAAAGCAATTGATAACTATTGCTGTATAACCTATTGATATATAGATTATGAATTTTGATACATCAGATATCAAAATTTGTTTAAATTTAAGCATCTTTAGCATTTCTCAATATAAAATTCTAACTAGCATTTGTTGTATTTATTTTATTGTTGCATTTGTATATACATAAGACTAACATAATCTGTCTAAAGAGCCTGTGTAAATAGCTTAGAGCTACAAGGGATAGGAAGTTGTGGAGGGACATGATTGCACATGTACTGATATTTATTAAGATCAACAGAATAACAATGGTTGACACATAAAGAAAACTACAGAGCCTCCTAGACAAGGTAGTAAAGAAAAGTGAGAAGAAAGGATTAGCCATCAAGTGCAAGAAGACAGAATGTATACAAAAAAAAAATCTAAGATGCAAACTACAAACTGGAGATGCCAACATCAAACAAGTACAGAAGTTTAAATATCTGGAAATTACATCTGTCTATATTTCTGACATGAGGTATTGTAACTATTTACACTATTTACATTGTTCAAACTGTTGTTCTTTTCTTTATTGCCATATTCACAACATTTGAGCCATCGTATGCTCCAGTCTTCTTCAAGTGATATATGTTGGAATTTTGAACTGAACCATTTATTTAGTCCATAGGAACAGATTGACCTAATTAATTCCACGTGCCATGCAATTTTTTTTTTTGCAAAGTATTTTAACAGAGGATGGAAAATATGACATCGAAATTTGAACATTTATTGAGTTAGTGGAAGAGGCATTCCAAAACCTAAGCAAAGTACTAAAAACAGGAAAATTTCATTAGAAACAAAGCAAGACTGCTCAACAGTTATGTGATATCAGTCCCTTTGTATAGCAGTGAAAGTTGGACAATTTCATCACAAATGAAGAGAAAACTGAAACCAGTAAAAATCTTGTTCTACAGAAGGATGCTGAGAATTCAATGAATAAAACAAGTAATCAATGAAGAAATCTTAAGGAAAATAGAAACAAAAAGAACACTTACAGAATCAAAAAGAGACAGCTGAAGTTTCTTGAAGACATAATGAGAAAGGAAAGCTTGGAGAACTTGACACTCACAGGTCATATTGAAGACAATATGGGGAAGGGAAGGCAGTGAGCCTCCTACCTGATGAGCTTGTCTGAATGGATGGTAAAACAATGGGCAGGAGGCCAAGGCACAAACATTGCTAAAGGCTACAAGGGATAGGCGGTTGTGGAAAGTCATGATCACCCACTTCCTGAAAAGACGCGACATATATAATAATAAGTATATATATATATATATATATATATATATATATGCAGAAAATCACACAGTTTATGGAAGCACCACCAAATGCTAAACAATATCACAGATGAAGAAGGAATGTGAAGCAACAGAAATGTGGTTCTATGGAAGGATACTGAGAATACAATGGACCGAGCATATGAGCAACAACAAAGTTTTAGAGAAAGTAGAAACAAAAAGGACACTTATACTTAACATCAGAAAGTGATAGTTGAATTTTTTAGTGCACATAATGAGAAAAGAGGACTGAGAAATTTCAATACTCACAGGACATATTGAAGGCAGACTGAGGAAAACAACATATAACCTACCTCGTGAGATTGATTAAATGAATGGCAGAACAGAGTTTAGGAGAGATAACAAAAGGACACAATTTATGAAAAATATAGGAAATTGTGGAGAACGATGATTGCTATCATCCTGAAGAGACATGGCACATAAAAGAAGATGATTACATATATGTATTATGATACTTTTTTTTTTTTATATATATATATATATATATATATATATATATATATATATATATATAGAAGAATTATATATTTGTTCCTCATCACTTGATGCTACTTAAACTTTAAGTAGCATCGAGCAGTAAGAAAAAGATATATAATTTTTTTAATATAAAGTTAATCTGTTATTTTTCATTGAGCACTGCTTTTTATTACTACCAGCACTCATGGTGCAGTATTCCATATATATATATATATATATATACTCCAAAATAATGATCAAACAACCAATCTGAGAGTGGATAAAGAAGTGTGCTTCACAAATATCTATAAAATGTCAGAAAAGTAGTAGTAAAAAACAAGAGAAGAGTCTTCATCAGAATATAGAAGCTGAAAAAAAATCTTGTTTCTTTTTTAAAATCTTAAGTGAATCGTCATCAACATCACCACTTGAAATCCGAGCCCACTTCTATGCATATCTAGAATTTCACAGAAACACACACACACACACACACACACACACACACACACACACACACATATATATATAAAAGAAACAAACAATAATATATATATATATATATATATGATTATGTGTCTCGAGATTATTGTTTGTTTGTTTTCTTTTTTTTACCTCTTTTGTCTTTTCTTCTGTTGGTGAGGATTTTCACATATATTATTTACTCAGCATTTCACACACACACACACATATATATTGTTATGTGTTGAGAGTTTTTCACAAAATACAATCGGCAACATTGCAAGAATCTGGCATTTTAGCTTCAGTCACTTTCACATCACTGTTATCACCTTTGCTTCTCCTATAAATATTTTTATATTAATTGTAATGATGTGCTTTCTTCTTTGGTATCTTCACAAATTTAAGTACAGTACTAGTTTTAGCAAATAGGCCTTATGATTTCATTGTTGAAATTGTAACCATAAATTCTATGCCAATATTTTTTTCTCTCAGTGTTCTCTTTTGTGGAACTCTCTTCCAGACTCTTACCTTCCTACCTACTATGATTTTGAAAAGTTTAATGCAAAATCAATCAAAATCTTGTATCTTCTTTAATCCCATTCTTTCTTTCATTGTCCCCTTTCTTCAATAAGTCTTTCTAAAATTCTTTCCCTCACAGTAACCCCTTGCATCATAGTGGCTTTTTTCCCCCTGCTTGACATGAAATGACTGAAAAAAAATATATATATATATGTATGTGTATAGTGTTTCTTAATATATGTATATATATGTGTGTGTGTGTGTTAATATTTAAAAGTATCATAAAAAATCTATATATAGGTAAGACATACATATTTGTATATGCATTAAGATTTATTTAGTTTTTCTTCCTTTAGCTTATCTGAATATGAATCAATAACTTAATACAATGCACAATATTAGAGCTTTAAAAAGGGATATATTTAAAAAGTATATATTAATATACTGTACATATAAACATAAAATCAAGTGGAGTAATTATATTAAATCTAAGCTACCTTCCCTCTGTAAATAGAAGTGGTTGTTAGGTTTCATTGTAATCTGTTAGTGACTCAGAAGGCTTACTGACTGGTAATTTCTACTCCTAATTGCAATCATTATGCTAAAATTTAGATCATTTTTTTCTTCCGTTGAACTTTGAAGAGTAAGGAACACTAACCTGTTAGTTTCTTTTTTTGATGTTTCCTTTTCTTGTTATAATTTTTTGATTTACCATTTTGTGGTAAATATTTTTTCGTTCCTTTTCCTCACCTTAATGTATTGTCTGTATATATTATATATTCATATATACATTTTTAATATATTTGTTTTTAAAATTTGGCATTCCTATCATACTTTGCTTTGCTTTTGGAAGCCATCTTTCACTATCTCAATGCCCTTTTGGATTATAGTGTGCCCTAGAAATGTTGATGAGGGATTGTAACTATTTACATTATTTATATTGTTCGGACTATTGTCCTCATCTTTATTACCATATTCACAATGTTTCAGCTGTTGTACACTTTGGCTTTCTTCAGGTGATATTGGTTTGAATTTCAAACTGAACACTTTATTTAGTTCACAGGGGTAGATTGTTCTTGTTCTAGATTGTTTACATGCCATACCTTACAATAATTCCCCTTGATAACTGAACTTTCCAAGTTTTTGTTCCCTCTGCTTTGGCCTGGTATTGAACTCACAACTATTTGGGTCAAGTCATTTGTGGATCAATCAACTAATGCTTTTATCCACTGGGTCATGTGTCCTTAGGGTTTGGTTTGAGATTCCAACAAATACCATCGGAAGAAGGCCATAGTATACAATGGCTGAAACATCATGAAGATGAGGACTGAACAATGTAAATATTGTAAAATGTTTCTTTTCTGTTTACATTTTCTCTAAAATTTTGTCATTGCTCACATGTTCTGTCAATGGTATCCTCAGCATCCTTCTGTAGAACAAAATTTCTGTAGCTTCAAGTCTCTTCATCTTTGTCTAGCATTCACTTCCATATAGGAGAACTAATATCACAAATGTTCAGCACTTTTTTTGTTTCTAATTTAATTTTTTGTTCATTAAAACTCTGCTTAGCGTCTGGAATACATCTTTGGCTATCCCTCATTCACCATTGGATTTCAGGGTTATACTTTTCAATCTCTGTTAAAACACTTCCCAGATATTTAAATCATACTTGTTTGATTTTGATATCTCCAAAAGCTAAGCAAAGTATTAAGAAACAGAAAAATTTCATTGTCTGAAACCAGCTTTGTTTGGTTTTCATCCATCTTCATCTCATTCTAATTTATCTCACAAAATGAGAAGGCTACCTCCAGCATGTCACTGATGTAGATTGTAAACAAAATTGCATTCAGCTACACAGGTAGGCTTTCCTACCGCCCAGTCAACACTCCTTCCCCTTCTCTTGGACATGAGTAGAGGCTTACACCTTGTTTCTTGTTTAGGAAGGGGTTCCCGTTCTCTCTCTCTCTCTCTCTCTCTCTCTCTCTCTCTGGCCTCTGTATTAGTGCAGCTCCGTTTCTCCCATGATGTGTGCAGTTTGTGGCATCACCTCTTCATTCTGGGGGTACACGATTGACAGTTCTCTGGTTGCTGTTGCCAACTGGTAGTTAGGAGCCTTAACTCTTGCGTAGCGTCTTGTGCAGCCGCTCTGATCAACAGTTGTATAATATCAGGGTGTTTGTAGTGCCATGTTGCACATGGAAAGGAGTCCCTGCAGTCACCTCCAGTGGGCAACCCTGAGGCCACATTATGATGCAGGTTCTGCCAACTCCTCTCTGCCCACGTCATGGTCAATAACTGTCTGCTTCTTTAACTTCGGGCCTTCTCATCTTCCAACCAAAACTCCACATGACTTACAAAGACCGAAAAAGTAATCCTAAACCAGCCACTACCCAACTTCCCTCTTAGAACTGAGGCTCTATTGAGTGATTTACACATAACCCTGTCTTTAGTATTGGGCATTATCTTCAATTTAGACCCCCACAAGGCTAGTGGAGATGGCATACCAGCCATTGTCTTGAAGAAATGCGCGCCTGAACTAGCGTCCACCCTCTCTAAACTATATAACTACTGCCTCAAGGAATCTTGTTTTCCAGACTGCTGGAAGTCCTCTTCGATTGTTCCTGTCTTCAAGAACTCTGGCAACCCCTCTGACCCTTCTAACTACCATTTTATCAGTCTCCTACTCCTCTTCGGCAAAGTCTTCAAAGCCCTAATCAATACCAAAGTGGTTAATCACCTCACATCCCATGATCTGCTCTCAGACAAGCAATATGGCTTCCGCTTTGCCCGAACTACAGCTGATGTGCTTACAGCCATCACTGAAACTGTCTAAATAACAGGGAAGCTCGTGCCATGGCCCTAGACATCTCCAAAGCGTTTGATAGGGTTTGGCATGCCAGCCTTCTTCGCAAGCTCCAAGGTTATGGCATTACGGGTCGATTGTTTGAACTAATACAATCATTCCTGTCAAACCGTGAATTGAAGGTCGTTCTCAACGAATTTTCCTCCAGTTCCTATCCCACGAACGCAGGTGTTCCTCAAGGCGCCATCCTGGGCCCTACTCTATTCCTTATCTTCATCAATGACCTTCCTGACACCATAAATTCCCAAGTTGGCATCTATGTGGATGTCACCACAATTTATTCCTGCCTCAAAAACAAATCTAGTGTCACTGAGAAAACTAACCTGGCTGTGCATCTTGAAAAGGACCTCCAATCGGTTGTGAACTGGGGCAGGAATTGGCTGGTCAACTTTAATGCTTCAAAAACAAAACTGCTCTCTATTAATCACCAGAGAGATCCTTCCCTGCTGTCCATTAGAATGTCTGACGCTCAACTTCTTGAGAGTACCTCTCTGCGGCTGCTCGGTCTCATGTTGACTGCTGACCTGAGATGGAACAAATACATTGAGTCAATTGCTTCATCCACTGCAAGGAAAGTTGGCTCCCTGTGCTGCGCCAGGAAATTTTTCTCCCCGGAATTGATCCTCCAACAATTCGCCCTTCCATGGAGTATTGCTGCCATATATGGTCTGGAGCCCCTTCTGTTTGCATCGGGGTTCTTGATAGGCTCCAGAGGTGAATATGCAATATAATTGGCCCTGCTCTGGCATCTCATCTACAGTCACTTTCTCACAGATGCACCGTCACCTCTCTCTGTCTGTTTTACAAATACTTTCATGGCAATTGCTCAGAGGAGCTGCATTCACTGGTTCCCAGACTTCATGAGTTCTAAAAAAAAAACATCTAGCAAAACAACCATTTGTAGAAATGTGTTGCTTTTTGCCAGTCAAGAAGTCTGTAATCAAAATGATGACATGACAAATCATACCATTGGCTCCAAGGTTTTAAATCAGTTTCTAGTGAGGGACCTAAAGTTAAATACCTTGGTAAATTCAAAGTTTCCTGCATCCATTGACTTCTCTTCATCTAAAAACTTAGTCCAAGCTTTCAGAAAAGTCAAGAGATTATTTTAATACTAGAATCACCCATTACAACCCTCAAGATTCATTTAAGATGGAGGGTAACACTTAAAATGGCTATGATGAATAAAGTGTGTGATATGGTAATAAGTAAAGATTATAAGAATGAGGAGGATAGATAACAATTGACCCTTGATTTTAAGATTGTAGTATTCAGAGAAGCATCTCCACAGGAGTTTGTTCTACAAATTAGTACTTGGGGAAAAAAGCTGTCTTATTCTTACATACTTACTTAATACAGAGAGAAATGAGGCTGATTCATCTCCATGGAAGTAGTATGGAATATCTTAGTTGTAAAAGTCTGAATTGGTAGAACTAAAGAATGGAGCTCAACTGATCATTTGTCATAGAAATAGTAACAGAAGCTTGTGTTATTGAATCTGTGGTAAAGAAGATGCACATTGGAGAATAAGTCTTTCTCTTAGAAGACAAAGTAAACAATTTTTAATTCCATCAAAATTGAAAAAAGAAGAATGTGCAGCTCCAAACCAGATATGGCAGCAATACTCCATTTTTGCTCTAATCTGACTCTTTTAAAGTTATACCATAGCAAAAGTAATCAGGTACTTAGAGGAGTGATAGTATGAGTCAATCATTTTCCAACCTCTTTAGCAGTGGATTGCATGAGTTCCACTTGAGTTCTGGAGTTAACTTAAAACTCAGTAGACATTCAAAGTATAGAGCTGCATTGCAATTGCAACTATTTATCACAAGAAAAGTCAGGGTTGATCTGTGATGACAAAACAATACTATTTTTGAAGTATTGAAAGTTACAATTCAGAATATATATAACAGTTGATGTTTTTATTTTATATTTCATGTGTTTAGGATTTAAATACTATTCATGCAGTTTTAAATAACTTGCAAAATATAATGTCATTTTTTAAAAATATCTTAATTTTAATTTTTTTGTGAAGTTGAGTTGAATTCATTTAACAGCAGAAAAATTCACACTCTTATGTAAATTTACAGTTGTCAATTGGCACAAAAAAGCATGCAGTGTTTCTTCTCCGCATACATGAATAATTTAATATAACAAAGAAAGCATTTTGCGCATAAAACAAGATGTATAGATAGAGAAATAGATATAAACAGACTTAGATAGATAGATAGATAGATAGATAGATAGATAGATAGATAGATAGATATGAATAGACATAGATCAATAGATAGACATCAAGAGACATAAAGTGATCAATAGATAGATAGATAGATAGATAGATAGATAGATAGATAGATAGATAGATAGATATGAATAGGCATATATCAAGTAGATAGAAATTCCCCATTAAATACACAGAAAAAGATATATTTTTCAGGGTTTACTTCATATGTTGTTTATATATGCACACACACACACACACACACATTCCCTCACACATATAAGTACAGCAAAAAATTACAAAACTATTTTCTGTATATTACATATTCTTGTTTTATTTATCATTGTTTATGTTCTTTTTCATTCATTCCACTGAAGTGGACAAGAAAGGTAAATAATTCTTTTATTTACTGTTAGTTCAAGTATTTTCTAAGAAAAGGAAGCCTTGTTTTGGGGAACTTTTCCATTTTTGGTACATAAGCTATACTTACTGCAGGGACTCTTTGAACATTTACATGAAAGAGTTATGATTTTTTATTTTTTATTTTTGTAAATAAGCAGATAGCGATAAAAATAGGTGACAGAAAGCATTTTCTAAGCACAAGGAAAAAGTGGATTCAGTTTGCCAGATCATGATTAGGACAACTGATAAAAATAGGAAAATTGATAAATATTACTGTTTCCTTTGATGATTAATATACCAATACAGCACACACACACACACACACACACACACACACACACACACACACACACACACACACACACACACACATATATATATATATATATAAATATGAGGTGTGATGTGACAATTTAATTCCTGGAATGATGGCAGTATATTGGTGGGTTCATGAGTTGGCAAACTTTTTTACTAGCACAAGCAGATATATTCCAAATTGTGATTTTTTGAGATGCAGATTAAATGAGTCTTTCATTGTTGAGTGGTAGAGGAAGTTATATGTGTTCTTTTTATACTACTGGTGGGAAATGAGTGAAAGGGGCAACAGATTAACATCAAGTTTTGTGTGAAGATTTGTATAAATGTTAGTAAAACATGAGTCATATTAAAATGTCTTATAGTGAACATGCTATGAAAACATTGAGTGCTTTTGGATGGCATAAGTAGTTCAAGAAAGGCAGAGAAGATGTACAAGTTGATACAAGAAGTGGGTAGCCAAAAAACATAAAGAACAGATGTTTTGTTTAGAAATGCCGAAAGGCTTATTAGAATCTGTTCAGAGGAATAGATCAGAACTCTATCCTGACCATGATTCATTTGCAGTTTACAAGTTCAAAAATGTGTAATTCACCTTATTCATCAGTCTACACCCCACACCTGGATTTATGCATATTTCTGAAATTGAAAATGCCATGAAAGGACAAAGATTTGTGGAATCTCTGAAACCAAGCAACAGGTGACTACATTACTTTACTAAAAGATTTTCTGAAAAATGAATTTTAAGAATTTTTCCAGCAATGCCACCATCCTTTTCTCAAAGGTTATAGATTCACACAAGTAGATGACAGCAGCCAGTAGTGTCCAGGTGAGCCAGCTTTGCTTCCATAGAGCAATTCTGGTAATTAAATTGTGAAACATCACATGCACACACATGTACGCACGCACATGCACACACACACACACACATATACATATATATATATATATATATATATATAGAGAGAGAGAGAGAGGTGGGTAAAACAACTAGATATTAGCAACCTTTCATGCCTGATGAGTTGGTAAAACAATGAAACATAAGTTGCACTTCAAATGTAGGTATATATATATATATGTATATATTCCTACAGTGTTGGCCTCAGTATCCACTTTTATGTTTACATATACTATGTTCCTGATATTGAGAACTTTTACCCATAAATATAGCATACCTTAAAACTATATTTTATTATATCTGTATATGTTCGCCTACAAACATTTACACTGAGGGCTGGAGTGAGGAGAGGAGAAACGATGTTGTGTCTCTGGGAAAAAAGCAAGAAGTCGACATTGAGGAAGAGCATCTTCACATGCATTCATTGCAATCAAGACTGTTACCCCTGTGTGAGGCTATACAGCCATCACAGGTGCTACACTTCCATCAGCAGCTGAAGTATAACTCTTCAGGCACAGATCTAAGGTTTCTCAGGACCAACAGAAGCCCCATGGATATGACATAGTTCAGCACTCTGTTTTATTTTTTTTGTTTCTCATGAAATTCTTTGGTTTCCTCATACTGTGTTTAATTTTTTGATGACCTTGTTCTCTATTCCAATTGCCTCTTTCACTATTCCAATGTGCCTATAGATTTCTGTGTTACATTTTCCATCATCAGCTAGTTAAGTTTCTATACTGACTTGATTTTGGCATCTTCAATTCATAGCTCACATCTTGATCTGTCTAACAACCATACATTCTCTCTTACAATTGAAATTGTTTTTAGTACAACTGATCTGAGTTTTTCTTTCTTGCTCTCTTTTACTACTTTGTCTAGGAGTCTCTGAAGTTTTCTTTCTATGTGGGCCATCAACATTTGTGTCATCTGCATAGCTTAAGTCATTATTCTTGTGTTCACAAATAATAAATCCTGGTAGAACTTGCTGTAAAGGTTAAATAAATCCATTAAGAAGTTGTCTTATACCCCTAATTGGAGGTTGATAATATCCTGTCATGTTGGGTTGATCCAGATAATGTGTGTGCTATTGAAGAAATGTTTATTCCTTCATTTGCATTTCCCCCATCATGGGCATTATTAGATCCATGATATAATAACACCTTATATCCCAGATGGAATGGCATGGCTGAAAGGAAAAGGAATGAAAAACATACTTTGTCCTTTGAGAGAGTTTTATGCAGTCATACACAAAATTTTATATAAATATTTACATGTGTCCCAGAGTGAAAAGGGGATGAAACAAGAGAATCTTACATTTAATGATTCCCAACAAGAATTGGATCTGCCCAAAATTATTCTGTGTTTCTGGAGAAGCCATATTTAGGATTCCAGATTCAAGTGGGCCAGATTTATCTGCTATGTCACAATTGAGGACATATTCCACAAACAGGGAAATGTCAAGTCTTGGACATGGGAATGGTGAGCCAGAGATACTATATCTGGTGAACATATATTTCCATAGGAAAACAGCACCAAGGGCTTGTAAGTTGCACTACATGGGATCTGCCTGGGGGAGGCAGATTTAGCCTCAGTCTGGACCTCTTGGCCCTGGCTAAAAAGGCATCTGTGCAGTATGAGACCTGGAAGTGGACTAACTGAAATAATCACCTTTTGTATCCCTGCACCCCTTTCTATTTTGTATAATTTCTCAATATGTTTTCTCACCATATGCAAGCAATGAGGTGTTAACTCGGTTCTAAATGAACGGTCCTTCTAGTAAAAGTATTCACAAAAAAATTAAATAATTTAGATTTTTGTGCAAGTCTCTCCTTAGAAAAGACTCTCTAACCCACATGCATGGCCTTGGTGTCTACGTCAAGGACCATCTCCCTCTGGCCAGAGAGTTGTCTCTCGAATCGCCAGATGAGTCATACATGTGTCTCTGACTATCTCTTCTTCCTTTATCGCTCTCCATCTTCTCAAGACTGTGGGATACTCGATAGCATTATGGACAGCATAGACAAGGCTCTCTCCCTCCATCCGTTTACTCATATATTTGTGTTTGGCGACTTTAACGCCCATCATACCAAGTGGCTTAAGAATGCTACTACTGACCACACAGGCAATCAAACACTTAATTTTTCAGTTTTTCAATCCCTCATGCAGATAGATAACTTCCCCACTCATGTTGCCTACAACTGGGAAGGTAAGGCCTCTCTTCTTGATCTGTGTTTTACCTCCATCCCTGAGTCTTGTAGCACCATGCAACTCTGCCCTCTTGGTAATTCTGATCATGCTGTAGTATCTGTTAACATCTCCTTCAACTCCACCCCCTGCAAAGAACCTCCTACCACTAGAACTTCAATCTACTATCAACGAGCTGACTGGGACACATTCCCTGATTTCCTCCGTGATGTCCCCTGGGATGTTGTCTTTATGCTCCCCGTTCAAGAACGTGTTTCTGAGGTCTCATCCTGGGTTAAAGCTGGAATCGACACTTTCATCTCCTCAAGGAAATATAAGGTCAAGTCGCGCTCCTCCCCTTGGTTCTCCGCTGCTTGCTCAGCCGCCATTGCCCATAGGAACCACTTCTTTCACCTATTTCATAGTGACATGTCTGACTGCAATAGACGTATGTTTGCCTCCACCTGTAACGAGTGTAAGCATGTCCTCAATGAAGCTAAGTCACTATTTGCTGCTTGGATGAAGGAGCGTATTGCATCTCGCAAATTTGGCTCCAAAGATTATTGGCGTCTCTGCAAAAGCGTACTGAACAATACAAACCTTCTATACCTTCTTTGTTCAACCAGTTCAAAGTCCTGACCTCCTCTTTCCTTTGCTCAGAAATTTTCATTCGATTCAATGCTCGACTCTTCCAGTGTGCCCATACCCGACTTCCCTCTTAGAACTGAGGCCCTATTGAGCGGGTTACACTTAACCCCGTCTTTGGTATTGGGCATTATCTCCAATTTAGACCCCAACAATTTTTCTCCCACAGCAAAGAAAGTTGGCTCCCTGTGCCACGCCAAGAAATTTTTCTCCCCGGAATCGATCCTTCAGATCTACAAATCAACAATTCATCCTTGCATGGTGTATTGCTGCCATATATGGTCTGAAGCCCCTCCTTTTTGCATCGGGGTTCTTGATAAGATCCAGAGGCGAATATGCAATATAATTGGCCCTGCTCTGGCATCTCGTCTACAGTCGCTCTCTCACAGATGTGCTGTCACCTCTCTCTGTCTTTTTTACAAATACTTTCATGGTAATTACTCCAAGGAGCTGCATTCACTGGTTCCCAGACTTCATGAATTCAAGCGCCCGACGAGGCTGGCATCCTGCTCTCACCCTTTCACTGTGGAAACTATTAAATGTAGCCGTCTCTTCTACTCCAGTAGCTTCATATCTCGCACCTCTCACCTGTGGAACTCCCTTCCCTATTCC